AAAATAAGAAAAATAAAATTTAGCCCTTTTCTCGATATATGTGTGTCGTCCTTACCTAGGGGCCATGCTATCTCGGCGCGGCTGACTTCAGTCGCGCGATCTCGAAGATCGCACGGCCGAAAATCGGTCGCACCCCTGGTCAAGTCACAGCTGCTCCAAAAGGAGCTAGCCCGGTAGTACAAGTTGTCGGATTCGATCCCCAGTTCTACGGGGTGATAATCTGGCGTCAATACCTACTGGGCTGGCTCCTTTTCACATCAGAAAAGGAGCGGCCCTTCTATATGAAGGGCTCCTGGTGCCCAGCAGACCTCTTCCTAGCGCCTAGCAGGCTGCGCCTGCTAGGCCAGCTTGTTGCCGTGGCTGGTGGGCGGGGTCGGCGGCCGACAGCCTTAACAGCTGCCCTATCCAGCCGGCCTCGACGCCTTCGCCCCTGGGTCCTCGGCACATAAGCCCTATGGACCCTAAACCGTTCCTTCACGCCGCGATCCAATCTCGTCGCGGTGTCCCCTTTTTGGCCCGCTTAGGCCCTGAAACGCGCGGCTTAACAGCCGCGCGACCTTATTATAGGTAGACTAAGTTTTAACTTTAGTTTTCCCATGACCGCACACTACTGCGGCCTTGTCGAACCCGCGGACGACAGTGCCGACTCCCGTTATCCCACACGAATGTCGATGTTGTCCTGCGTCGATGATGTCAGGTTCAAAAAAAGTTCAAGTCTCTCAGTTATAGCGCTGGTCTGAATAACTTTGGCACGTCAATCTCATCAAGTCCTCCAATTAAGAAAAAAGGTCAGACAACGTCCGACGTTGAAAAACACAGGCAGATACCTTTGTAAGGGTTTCTGCCCCGACAGCATTCCCGGGCCCCATTGAACGACTTCCACGTCGTTCACGTGGTCGGTGCTCTCAATATTAAATCTTGCAGATACTTCTCTTAGTATCCTTCAATCTGAATAAAATTACAGATACTATAACAGCGGATATCCGAAAAAACGGACTCCTTACTATTAAGCGAGTTATGCCCTCGAAGCCAAAATTCACATTTATTCTGCACTCATCGGATCGGTATCAGGTTCATCCCCTGGAAGCCCAAAATTCGAAATTCAGGCCCAGATTCAGCCCCTGGAAGCCCAAAGTTCAAAGGATTTAGTTTTAATCGTTCTGGCGAACAATTCATTTGGTTGATATCATTATTTCAATCATCTGGGCAAGCAACCATCACTGCCGGGAGTTTAACCCGTGTCTCTCGTGTTCATGGGGATGCATCCACAACACTTCAACACATTCACGTGTTCCCAGGAGTTTAATCTGGACCTCCACGTAACACAAGGATACTCGTACTATACTACAGTCACGGTTGTCGGGGATAATAATAACAAGGCTCCGGTGTTCCACCATCCCTTCAGGAGGACCCGTATTGACCTTCAGCTAATTCCCAGAATGAGCCAGGAATAACCCCTGACAGGTTTCCATAACCCAACCTATGATAATCGTTCAGACATAGTCTGAACTAGCCATCCAATACAAGAACCCATTATTTAAGTCCTTTACCTGAGTTTCATAACCCATCCGATTGTGCAATTTTTCAAATACCTAGGATTTTTTATGTCTTAGTATCCTCGAATTCTATGTGACTGCGTCAAGGAGTGATGTAATCCACCACAAAGGATAACATCTCGACATCAAGCCCTGCTTTAGATTTGAGCCTCACCACATTCCCTCCGATTCCAGTATCACAACATTGTGAATGCCACGCCTACAGGGCGAGACAACCCCATCCATATAGTCCAAGTTGGTCAGACGAGGATCATAAGGACACGGCGACCCTGCATACCACAAGGATAGACGACCAAACCCAACCCTGTGATAAGCAGCGATCGCTCCCCACCATAGGCGAGGTCCCAACAGGATTACGACACCATCCTCCTTTTCGGTGATAGTGTAACCATCGCCTTTTTTCAAGGAAAATGACATCATCTCGTTGTGGACCAGGAACCAAGTTTCGGCACGAGCCTCACTATCACTTACAAGGCTCACATCTTTCAGGAATATCAAAATACAATAAAGACCAGGTATTACATATAAACTTATTAAATTTATTAAACCATGTGCCTACAGAACGAATACTTATCGTTCAGGAAGCCACATGTTACACGCTAATTCATAACTTTGCGCAAATTATCCACACCCATCCTTCACAAGCAAAACACATTCAACATAAGAAGTAAAAAGAGATGCATGCTCAAAGAATTATTTTTACAGGGTTTGAAAATCATTGTGCACATTAATTATCTTACTCGAGAACGAAGAATAATGACAAAAATGACGTCAACAAATAATTCATTACAAGTCCATATGTGTCTGTCTATTATATGGAAAATATATCTTACAAATACTTAATCATAAAATCAAGCTAGCCAGAGGTATCAATGTCTGTTAAGAAAAGTAAGGCATTATTTAGTCATTATGGACAAACTTCTTCAAGCGTGAGACTGAAACCCAATCTCGCCCACGTGCTTCATCCATCTCCTCAATCTCGTATACTCCATGCTCCATTTTCTTAATAATACGATATGGCCCCATCCATCGATTATCTAATTTCCTCGACCACTGCTTTTCAAGAAAAGAGTCATAGAGGAGGACAATATCCCCCACTTCCAACGGTTCCTTTCTAACCCGGGGTTGCTTATCCCATCTAACTTTATCCGCCCGTCTGTTGTCCGCAGTTGACGCAGCAGCCTCTACAACTCTTTCCTCAGTAGTTTTTATTTGCCTGACCCTCAGGTCCAGCAATTCTTCTGTGGAAAGTCTGACTTTCATATCCTGTTTCTGCCATGTGGTCAGGAAACTCGAAATTGGAAACATAGCGTGTCGTCCAAACCATAACGTAACAGGAGCATACCCAGTAGTCCGTTTTACGGTTATATTTTCAACAAATATGGCAACTCTGAGATAGACGGGTTGATGGCTTGCCAGCACACCATTTAACTAACAAGTTAGTCAGGGTGGCGTGTCCACATTCGACGGGAGCATTAGCCTGGGGGTGTGCTCTAGTGGTGTAACTATAGTTCACTCCCAGTCTCTTTAGGAGAGCCTGAACTTCTTCCGCCCGAAATTCACCGCCTCGATCCATCACAAATTCCCGAACAAACGGATACCGAAGGTAAAACTCTTCGATACATTCTGCCAAGATCTTCCCGGTTCGTTCACGGATTGCACGTTCATCAACAAACCCAGTAAGATTATCTATCGCATCAAAAATGTACCTGTACCCATTGAGCCCGGGTGGCATAACGACCAGGTCGAGACGCACACCCGCCCCTCGCTCAACCACATATCGTGGATTAAGTGGCTCAGCGTAATGGAAATTTGAACGTTTTTGACAAAGGACGCACGAGTTGCAGAATTCCACCACTATCTTATCCATACCATCCCAAAAATAGAGATATTGGATCTTTCTTAATGTTACTCGTGCGGACCGATGTCCACCTGCCACTCCATCATGTAGAGCCGCAACCACATCCAAATGTCTGGGAACCCCACACACCACTCTCTTAAGCATTCCATCGTCAGACTTCTTGAAAAGATGCCCCTGTCGAACGACAAAATCCCTTGCCTTCTCTTTTATTTCTAGCTCTATCTCTGCCTCGTTCAGATCCCTATTCAACCAAAGCCCAATCTTCTTATAGATCCTATCATATTCCTCCCCACGAAAGGCTTCTTTAATCTCACTGCCTTCCCCTTCTTCCAACATTAGCTTACCGTGATCTTCTTGTATCAACGAATTAACCAGGAATATCATCCCCCCGGAGATCCCGAGGACTTCGTCGCCTTGCTCATGTCCCCCTTCAATCGTAAGGGGTTCTTCCGAAAGTTGTACTGGGTCAGACGATGCCAACCTCATCATTTGTTCCGCGGACCGTTCATCCCAGGGATCCTCCTCAGTACAAGGCTCTCTCATCACAAGTTCTGAACGCTGACAAGGACGTCCACCTCCTTCTCTGTAAGAGACCCTTCCTCTCCAATGATCATATTCTTAATCCTCTCCTCCGTCAATCGACATGGCGCCTTCATACTCTTTTCCTTCCTCATCCTGATCCATTCTCTTTCTTCTTTATAATACACTTCTTTCCCTTGTGCGATCAAGACGGGCACCGGACGAGCTTTCTCGCCTACTCTTTTGTACTTACGTTTCGCTCCAACTCCAAGTCGTTCACCTTTAAAAAAGGCCCTTGCTTGGCTGCTGGCTCCGTCAATACATCACCTTCCGAAGGCCTATCGGGCCGATAAGTAAAATACATTCTACCTGTCCCGCCTTCTCCTGCCACAATCTCTGTCAGCGATTGGACCAACTTGGGGTCCACGGACGAGTCTGTCGCTACGAACTCGATCGCTTGAGAGATGTTGGGCAGAGCAAGAGAGAATTCTTGGGGATCGCTCTCTTCTCCGATGGATTCCTTCTCCCTCTTGAGCCTTCCAGATTCCGTGAAGGAGTAAGACCCCGGATTGAGCTGGTTCCTTGAGTTAGTTGGTCCTGTGTTCTCACACTTCAGCACCTCGTAATAGCTACATACGGGGTCACACAAAACCACGATCATAGTACCATCATGCTTGTTAAAGATGATGGATTCTGATCGACATAGGAAAGCTCTGCCCAGCAACACGGCATGCTCAACCCTGGGTAGCACGTAGAAGTACGAACGGACTTTGACTTTACCAACTTGTATCGTCACGTCACTTGTCGTTCCGCAAAAGGGAGTTATCTCACTTGCACCCACTAGAAATCCAGTATCTGCTCGATTGATATTGACTCTTGCCCCCAGGGCTTCTCTTTCACGTATAATGTTCATTTCAACTCCATCGTCGATGAGAGCCGAGTACTCACACGGCCCAACTTGCACCTTCAATAACCCAGTTGCTACACAGTGCCAGTCCATTTTTGTCCTAGGAGGAGCCCAACTAATCTCTTAGGGAAAGATATCACCCATCTTAACCGTCATCACCTTTTTTCTTGACAATCGGTGTCTGAACGCCTCTCGAATTTTCGGTGACGAGGCGAAGAATTCCTTGAGCGTGAACAAATCACGCTGGCTTTCCAAAATCCGCTCCACAATTTGCTCAATATCCAACCCCTGCTCCACTGGAACTGTGTAAACTTGCTTCTTCTTTTTCGGCTCTCCTTCCCCAACATCGACCTTGTCCATTTCTGGCTCCCTTTCCATGGCTCGCTGTTTGGCCTGACGCTCATCTTCAGCCCGCAACAATTCATCCTCCTCACCATCGTCTTCTTCAATTGAAACTGTCTCGGTTTTTCGAGGCTGACTTGGTCCTTCCTCTGGTGTTGCCCTTGACCGCGGCGGCCTTCGAGCCCTACGAGCCTGTGGGAGGCCAGTGGTGGGAGGTCGTTTGAAAGCAGGACGGGACAAGACCGTGGTGGTCATTAGACGCCCTGCCGACGGCGATCCAGGCTGTGATACAGTAACATTGGTAAGACCTCCTTGGCCATCTCTGTCCCATCCCCCGAACAGAAAAACTTGGGGAAACCCAGGCCACTCTTCATCCATGTCGGCACATATTTGAACGAAAGTTTCCCTGCATCGAGTCGTTTTTCTGACCACCAACTGGGCCCGATGCAGTATCTCTTCCTGCTCTTTGCTCAAACTTTCATCTGCACTCTTGTCTTCTTCAATTGCCAATGACTTAATCGCCGCTTCCAACTCAATCTGTTCGACTTCTTCCAGGGAAGCCAGTCGAAAAGTTGCTGGAAGATCTCGCCCCATACGTCGGAAGGCTTCCTTTCTCATTCCTCCTTCCACATTGGGATCGATGAGGTTCCCTTCGAAGTCGTAGACCTCGCCTCGGATATTCGTATATATAACCTTGTCGTTTTCATCTTTGATAACGGTTTGACAAAACCGTATCCCATGCCCATCTTGGCCACAATACTTGCAAAACCAATTCTGCCAATTACCTCGGCCGCCTCCATTTCCTCGGCCTCCCCCAGTGCCTTGTCCTCTACCTCGACCACAGCCTCGGCCTCCTGCCTGAGGTTGGGGTTGCTGAGGAGGGGTTGGAGCTGCCTGTTCCTGATTACTTCCTTGTCCACCTCCTCCATTATTCTTCCGCTGCTTCTTACTAGTGCCCTGCCCTCCTCGTATCTAATTCAGGGCCTTCCGTTCTGCCTTGGTCAATTTTCGAGGGGGCTCCACTTCCTCCTCACCTTCCTCTTCACTGCTACTACTGATCACTTCCTCCACTACGGGTGCTTTGCCCTTCCTTTTCCCACCTTTTGTCTGGACCATCATCACCTGTAGCCTTAGCCTTTCCTCCTTCATGTCCGCCATCATGTTTCGCATGTCAGTCAGGGTCTTGTAAACGGCTTGATCCTTGTCCGCGCTTACCCCTTCCTTCTCGCGGTCCTCCTTTTACTGCTTCAGGAGACGGTAAAGCATTTGGTCGAAACTTCCGGACAACAGATTTTCCTTTATCTTTGGCCAGTCGTATCGCCCAGTCATATCCTTCATCAGTTCTCGCTGCTAACTTCTGAAAAATTTTCGAGGAAGATGAGGCACCAATCCTTATCTGGAAGGTCAGGCACTAAGCGCGCAACCCGCTCAAACTCCGTAAGAAACTGCTTGGCCGTACCAAACTTCCGACGACTGACCTTCCGTACGTCCGCCAGATCGAGCAGTTGATCCCCCAACTGGTACTTGTCCAATAATTTGGCCTTGAAGTCCGGCCAATCGCGCGAAGCTTGCACCAACTCCAACACCTCCTCTTTGTACTCCACCATACAATATCGCTTCACCATTTGAAGCATATTCTCACTCGACCATTCGCAGCAACTGCCCAATTGTTCAAACTTGTCCGCCCATGCTGAGGCATTGGTGCCATTGAAGAGGGGAACTTGAACCTTCGGCAACTATGCCTTCTGATTATCAGCCTCACAAATGGCTCGTGCGAGTTCCAGAATATCGTTGCGACGATCCCTTGCATTACTATTTGCGGGATCAACATTTTCTCCCGTCATCTTGAGAGAATCAACACGACAAACCCACATGTCCAAGTATCAAATAGATTCCAACAATTCACTCCAAACCTTGTCTTCTTTCTTTTCCCAGACATTAAAAACCACTGACTACTTTCAATCCAAACAAATAATACACAATACTTAAAATCACCATAACCATCCTTTTCCCGAGTGTCGTTCCACCAGGGACAACGGTAGTTTGCCGTCATCCCCGGGAACGGCGCCACCTGTCGAGCGCATCACCCTCGCGTGAACAAGGGCCCTCCCGGCTATGCCACACAGGAGTTATAACAAAACAAAATTAAGAGACAACTTGGGACGACACATAAATAATCCCACGAACCGCCGAGACGGACGCGATTGCATTATCCCTTCGCCGTTCTAGCCGGGTGCGCCAGCTGTACTTCCCACGGTCCCCTACGACAGGATAGGTTCTCGTGGGGCACATCTTACCTTCCCTAAGGGGCTGTCACCACCCTTAGGGGCGTATCCCCGCCGAGCTACCGACCCACGTGCGAAAGCTTTTACATGCAATTGCAGAGGTAGGTCAGCCGAGGGCGTTTGCTCGCTCGCTGGAGTATTGGTTAACGCCAAGTGGACCCGAACATCGTCCGTTCCCGAGGGCGCTGATCTCCTCGGTACGAACGAGCATCGGTCGACTAGGACGGCCTCGACCAAACATGAAATCCAATGTATAATCCTAGTACCGTTATAATCTCATACTCATAACCAACATTTTGACTTGACGAGACGACCTGCCAAGGTTATGATTTCCTGCTTGCATGACCGGAGAGACAATGCTACTGCCGTCCGAAGACGAAAGATCCGTCACGCATAGCTTATATAAGTAAATACCGCTGGTACCATGCAGATCAACAAGTGATCTGGCTCCTGGTCGGTATTTGAACTCCCGGTTCGACCATATTGTCGTACCGCATACATCTATTCGGGGGAGCGACTGACAATTCTGTCGGTCGATTCGTCCTCCTAGGCAATAATTACTCTCTCCGTTCCACGAATAACGAAGTACCCATCCCCAACACCAGATACTTGGCATGAAGATATTTCATCTTCTGATACTTCGCCCTCGCCCTTTTGCTCGACACCTTCTCAGGTGTTCGTTTTTTATTTTGCTCGGCTAATTTTTCAGCGATCGATTTCCCCTCAATGCATAAGCATGATAGTGCCATCATCGGGGTAATCCAGATACTATCCATCTGGTTGGCCTACCTACGCAAGATTGTTTTTTTTTWWTATTATTATTACCCTTGTAGAGTCACGTAGATGTGGCCCTACAAAARAACCACTTACCACTGCACCTGACTCGAGAGGGTGCGCTCAGCCAGGATAAACCTRTCGGCCCTCACGGGCCTCTACCTCTATCCGGTCGAGTCGCGTRAACTCCTCGTCGTCAAAAGTCAAGGTGGAAACACGTCCGCCTCGCATAACCCGGACCTTCCGCGTATCATAGAGAGAAACCACCCGTGAGGCGAGCCTCCAAACTATGGCACGGAACGGTTGGCGCATCCGAAACATGTGCGTGGTAGTGGTTTCTTTAATCCGGATGATGCCGTAGCGCTTTCCGGATAGGGTAATTTTGACGCTCACAATGATCCGAGAAAGGCATTGGAGGTCGCTTGCGCGATGGAAGTACAAGGTGTATCCATGAACTTCGTCCGGAAGTCGGGCCACATTGGCATGAACATTTGCGCGCGAGTTAGGGAAAAATCCCTGCCCATCACTGAGCAGGCCAATGAAACCAACCCAACGTGTGGGCACTCCATCTCGAGCCAGTAATAGTCGCTCCGCTCGCCGGATCAGCTCCTCGTCCGTAGTGTCGCGAATCAGTAGATATCTGGCCTGAGTGAAGTCCCGTCGTCCGCTAGGCATCTGCATACCGAAGAAGCCACCTGTTAGAAGAGGCGCTCATAAATTTCACAAGCCTCGTCATAAAACGCGGTGACGTTGAAACGTTCCGAGCGAATGATATTAAATCTATTCGCTCGGACCCGTCTCACATGATGAAGGGAGCCGAACGGACCTTGCAAATCATTCAAATGGAGTACAATATAGAGGAACATCCCTCTAAACTCAGGAATGTTCTCTACTTCTGGACAGTCCTCGTGAACCACAACTAAGTTTATGTCTCCGTAATCTCGTGATGGATTAGGAGGCGCAAAGTCATGTCGTACAATATGTTGGCCTGGCTCGACCAGGAAAATATAACTCCGCGGTGGCTTCCTCGCGCTCCCTTCCCAGAATCGTGGCACGTCCCGTTCTAAGTAAACCTGTAGAGGGTTGTACACCAGCCTTCCTTTCCGTGTCATGCCGGCGCGGGATCGTGTCGGCACCGCTAACCAATTAGCCGCCGCCACGCTTGTGCTGAACAATCGGAGAATCACTGTCTCTGCAAGCATCTGGACGACGAAGTGGTAACTTTGTCAAAATAACTCAGATATACTCATTTCCATGTTCAATCTTCACTCCCCTTTTCGGGCCGTGATTCTTGTGCCACGGTCCGATCGCGAGAGTAGTGCCTATTTGCACTTCCTTTAACACTAGTTGAATCACGGGCTGGGCTTCTTATGACGCCGGCCCTCCCACACGTTGGTGGCCCCTAAAACGGCCACCCGGCAGAGTACTAGACTCAACCTCTCATTTTCCTGAAAGCACGAGGAGGCGACTGCCCCTAGCTTCAAGACACCCTAGTCTCTAGGAAGTGGTTTCGAATACCCCTCACCCTCGCCCGAACACGTTGTTCAGGACTCTGAAGTTGGGCTGGCTCCACCGCAACAGCATGGTATCCCCCCGCATAAGCGGTCTGCTCCGAGTCGATAACAGGGCCGGCCCCTAAGGCAACGAACCCCCGCCTCGGATGCCTCCTAGAGAGAAGAAGCTTAGACCCTAGGTGCAGACGACCGCTCTACTCTTCCCAGCTAAGGGTCGACTTAGACGAATTAAGAAGAGAAAGAAATAAAATATTTTTAGACGGGCATAGAAGGATAATGGTCGTTCGGGATAGAATGGGGAGGTCCTTGGGAAGATACTAAGGTGTTCCCTTGTCTTCTCTTCTTTTAATTTTCCCACGGCCTTCGCTCTTTCGACACCCGCCTGTTCACTCTTTTATTATTATTATTTTTGGTTTTCCTCTTTTCTTTCACATGCATTCAGGTCGCGTGGGGGAAAGGTAAGCATCCCCATTATTATCTTGAGCAAGCAATGTTGATTCTTTCTCACATGCACCTCTCAACCTACCTGCACAATCAGGAAAAGAAACAATCCAGAGATTCATCCATCCCCCAAACAAGTCAGCCCTTTCTTCACACGCATGAAGTCACATTCTTGCTCTACCTTTTCCCCTGAATTCAAAGCAAGGTCATGCAATGTGTGGGTTCACGCGGGTGTGCAGAGGAGCTGAGTCACACAAACCTTGAGTGATTTCTATGAGGGCTCGCTCAAGAAAGCCAAATATCTTTACAAAAATTCGGTCGCACCACTCCCATTGTGGTTGCTCACAAGGACGAGTCACACCCTCCTTCAAACGCCGTCGTTGACTCAGGCGCCGCTCACCAATACAGAAGTGAGCTTGTCATTGAGGAGAGTGCCCCACTCTCAAATCCTACAGCCTCAACGTCACACCTTCCATCAAAACAGCGCCAATTCAACCCACCAAATACCAAGTCAGGTCACCACCTGCCTGCTGCAATACTAAGTGGTTCCAGACCCAATCCCCGCTTACTCGGTATGCCGCAAAAAAATAACAACGGCCTCGACAATTCTTACAAGTGCCGCGTGCCGTAATGCCCCCAACGAGACGATCGCCACACCCTTTCTATTTCAAAGTGCACTTCCCCCTTGGTGGTACTGTCATTGCGGCAACGTCCAATCCCCCTTCTCGCAGTCTTGTGCAAAATACTGTTGCCATAAAATTTGGTAGCGCCCTCGCCGTACTGCGAAGAGAATCCGTGCTGCCGCCACACAATTTCGGCAGTGCTTCTGCCGTATCGCCAAGAAGACTAGCGTTGCCGCCCCAAGAATTCGGCAGCGCTTCCGCCGTCCCACCAGGAGAACCAGCGCTGCCGCCGCACAATTTCGGCAGCGCTTCCGCCGCACCACCCAATCCAGCGGCAACCTCCCGGCTATGGCTCCCCCACAACCTGCAGCAGAGCACAAGAGGTGGGGTAAGAAGCTCCCAGCCTCTAGCTATGGATGCCTCCTCCTTCCTCCAAGTGCTTTTGCAGACCTCCAGCACTTCGCCTCATCACACCAGCAGCCACCCAGCCAGCATCTACTCAATTAGAATGCCCCAGCAGCATTGCCACAAGTGTGAGGCTGCTGGGTGGCAGGCTAGCTTTTATAGCTGGCTGAAGGCTGAGGGCAGCTACTTTGCCCGCAGCCAAATCTCGGAATAGAGCCTGGCCCTAGATCAAACTCGCGATCAAGGGCCAGGGAACTTGATGTTCCCCTAGGGGAACCAAGTTCTGAACCTTGGCAGTGCATCTGGCCTTCACCCGCGGCCAGATGCAGCCCAAAGATGGGTGTAATCAGCTATTTTCAAGCAGACTGTTGAAACCAACAGTTTGCTATCTATCCATAGTCCAGATGCTTCTGAACTTGCATTTGGGCCGAGGCCGCGGTTAGATGCACGACCATTTTTTTTTTAATTTTTTTTTTTTCCACTTCTCCCCCTTTCTTTTTGTTTTTTTTGTTTTTTTTTTTTCTACAGCAGGGGCAGCTCGTCGTTCGAAAACGAACGAGCAGATCCCCCCCCCTTTTCAAGTCATTTCACAAAGTCGAACTAGAGTCAAGCTCGACAGGATCTTTTTGCCTTGCCTCCGCGCACCCATACCCGTACGCCTACTCGCCAGGTGCGGCGGCGGTCTGCAGCCCGTTGCCCAACGGGCGCAGGTAA